TCAAGTCATCTCTATACTCTCGTATAGGCGCGACATCCAGGCTTATCTTGTCCAAATAAAATGTGAGTGAGTACTTCTTCCAACTACCTATGTTGGACGCATAGTTACAGTGTTACAGTGATATCATGTTCTTTCTATATTTCGTACATCCATTGAATATATAAAAAAATATATGTAATAAACCTATGTTTACGAAGCTTCTACTAAATTTATATTTTTTTCTGATCAGGAACTTAGATATTCCCACCACCTGAACCTGTCTCCATAGATGAAAAAACCGTGAAGCTGCCATCGTCCGTTGCAACTTTTTATACAGGCGTGTGGTTAAGCAGACGCTTGCCCCTCGTTTGCTTGATGTAAACAATTTATCGTTTAAATAAAACACTTTAACGGTTTAAAACGCGATATATTAGTTAAAAAAATCATTTTCAAATTAAATTTACTAATATATCGCGTTTTAAACCCTTAAAGTGTTTTATTTAAATGTGTACTACTCGCGTAAACTATAGACAGTATTTAGTTTATCGTTTCCGTGGGATTCGAACCCAGGAGCTCTCGAATTTGGGATAAGCTTAGTTATAATAATATTTAATTAAGTATAAAATTATGATGTAACGATATTAATTAAATAACGCTTAATCTCTCCGTACTTTAAAAGCTTCAGTATTTAAATATTGCCTTTCCAGCTCTTAAATGTCGTTCTTGGTTTGTCTATTCTTCATAACATGTCGCCCGGAAGGGCTGGCTGTAAGGTCGCCTTTTATTTAAACCACGCTGTGGTGTTTATAATTATTAAAGTAAAATAAATAATAAATACAACTTTATTTTTATAAATTTTTACACAGAACATAGTCCTAAATTTTTATTTTTATTTTGCGAGAATTTAAAATTGGAGGAACTTTTAGATTTTTGACTTTTAATAAAGTTTTAGTAAGGGACTCTTACTAATCTTTTCTAGCAATAATTATGGCCTATGTTGCTTAGGGTGAATGTAGCTTTCTAATGGTCTAAGATTTTTTGTAATCGGCACAGTAGTTTTTGAGTTTATTTATTACAAACATACAAATCTTTCCTTCCTGCTTTCTAATAAAGAGGTAAGATTTGTATTTTACTTATACTATATATAAGTCAAATGTAAGTCGAGTCATTAATTTCAACAAATTATTCAACCGTCCGGCGCATTTATAAAAATAAACGTCACACGGGGATTTTAAAAAACATAGGCCCAAAATCAGAAGTCATTAATGTCCAATAAGTTAAAAAGTTATCCGGCGCGCGATAAATCATTTTTATATTTCATCTTTCACGAGTCTTTTTTCATCAATTTAAACAGAGTTGATTTAAGGCACTCAATTCTCTGTTGTGGAGTTTTTTTTTCCGATGTAACCTCGTGAATAATTTCAGCCAATCGGGACCGCTCGTTGCCGACTGTTTCCACCCTCCCGGTCTATGATTGGTCTGGACTTTGGAATCTGATTGTGCGATGCTTCAACGGATTTCGGTTAAGGGCATCTCATTCTTGCTGTTAAGGATGTTACACTATATCGATAAAACTGACGATGGAAAAATTATATATCTATCGACTCGTTAAATAAAGACATAGAACTGTGTCTGCTCTATTCAGGGGAAATGGGATTTAATTTCATTTTCGGCCGGGGTGTTTACCATTTGCTTGTGGTATTGCTAGTAGTATACTTTGTAATTTTTGAAAGAAATTTTTGTGAACCTAACACGTAAAAAATACATATATTTAAATGTCATTAGAATTAATTTAGTTACATTCTTTAAATGAAATTCTAACTTGTTTTTTAATAATGAATTAATACCTATTTGGCTGCATTTTGACTGATGGCCAAACATTAAATGTGCTATAGTATCACAGATTATCTGACAAGGTAAGAAATGACGAATATTTTTATCGATTACAGAACATCCCTAGCAATATCTAATTGAGGCAGACCGCATAAACTTTACTGCAAGCTGTGAAGACTGAAGAGTATTGGACATTTTGCTCAGCTCAAATATTATGGATATTGTTTGTCTACTCAATAGCTTTCAACATATATACATGTTGGTTTGTAGACAATTTGGTTGTTAGTATTTAGTTTAAGTAATTCTCAACCGAGTTCTATAACGTATGTTTTTTTTACGAATTACATATAAAGTAACGGAACAATTTGGAATTTTGGTACACTCGTAGCGTATTGATTTACTTTATTCTGTTATGACAGAGAACAAGAGTTAAATATGGGATTCTTTTGATAGAGAACTGTAAAACGTTGACCTATTTTAACCTCCCGATATTGAGAAATACGACTTTTCCAGCCCACAATCAGAATTCAGAATAATTTCAAATTAATTTTAGTAACGAGATGAACATCGTACCTACAATTGTTTACGCCACACTTTACTACCAGAATATTGCACGTTTTCGCTGGATAAACGTTTACAAAAGTAAATATACAGAGCGGCGAGTATCCACTAGTCTATTATAAGTATGACCGGCAAACACTAAAGAAATTTCCTATTAAACGGTTTATATAAAATGCATTTCTGGAATATCGGGACACAATAGTGATGTAAGTAGAACTAGATTTCTTATCGAGAATGTTTTATTATATTATAAAAGCAAGTATGTAGCATACAGCTTGTTTCATAAATATTGTAATGGTATAAAAATGGAGACTTATAAGTTTAAGGTCTAAATAGGTATAGGTTGGTAGTCTATATAGACCTAGAAATGATCTATTTAATGTTCTAAGACATAGATACGTATTCTATAATTCTATTCTATAAGGTTCTTAATACATCTAACACTCGTATTATGATTTTTTTTTCTTTTTTTACATTTAATGTAATTGGCTTAAGTTTTAGTTGTAGTAAATAAATAAATAAATAAAATAATAAACAAATTCTTTATAACATGTGAGAGTTTAAAAAAATGTTAATCTATACTATCTAATAAATAAAAAGCTGAAGAGTTTGTATGTTTCTATGTTTGAACGCGCTAGTCTTAAGATCTACGGATTCGAATTAAAACATTATTTTTGTTTTGGAGCATTTATCGAGGGAGGCTATAAAACATTGCCTGTGACTAGTAGGTACAAGTGAAGATACAGCGAGAAATGTGAAAAAAAATTGGGAAAATTATTCACCATTGTAGGTTTCCGAGGCGTACGCTGCAAAAACGTTTCAAGATACCCAAATAAAATGTGTAAAAACAACAGATTCTTCTTTAAATGATCTATTTAAGTCCGCGACGCTACATGTCTATCTTTTAAGATTTACTTGCAAGAACGACGGGAAGGAACGCGACCGACGTCGTGTGTAACAGCTTAAGTTTATAAAGATGAAGGGGTTTGTAAACACGAATCTGGATGCCCAAAATAACGCTTCTCGCGGACGAATTCGCTGACATAGCTAGTGTTAGGAAAATAATACATTCCTATCTTTAAAACATTTAAAACAAATCAATGACACCAAACCAAATAGAATATAAGTTCCTGTCTAGTAAAAGGGTAATAATGTAGACGAGTACTTAAACTCGTCTACGAAGATAAGGACCAAACAAAGTCACAACTTTATTACTAGTTTTATCTCAAGAGATTTGTAACGCGCAGCCATTTGAGTCTTGAATCTGGTAACTTATCGATACAATTATTCTGTATCGATATCGATATCCCAACACTAATTATCGAGCATTATGTTCGAAAGTTAATTTTGTGTTACAACTCGAAGTTTAATAGTAATGATGCTTGTTTCAAATGATAGATGAAGCACAAATTACTACAAAATATATACCTTGATATCTTTATTTTTAATGAAATTTAGTCTTTATCACTATAGAATTTAAGTTCTAATTTAAATAACTGTGGTTTCATATTGTTAAATTATTAACTATCCGTGTGGTATAATTTATTGTAAATGAGTGTACATGGACATCATATCATAAGAAACATAATTATATATATAGAAATATTTAATGCAAGCTTATTTTACTTAAAATCTAATTCGTTGTTGCTACCACTATTTTGTTGTACCATTGTAAGAAACTTTGATGATGTATACATACATCAAAGTTTATTAATTTCTAGAAAACTATCTATATCTCAGAAAACTAATTCAGAATTAAGAAATAGGATTTTTTTTTAGCAAGTAGGATAGACTCTTAAAATATAATGTAATTATTATAATTATGTTATGTAAACATGATACTCGTAGTAGTAAAAAATTAAGTTTATGATGCTTATTACTGCCATCTAGTATCAAATAGATAAAATATATAGCACGACTTTTCGACAACAGATGGCCGTAACAACAAGAACAATTCTTTTAATTCTTTCTTGCAATATCATAGATGTCGTTAATCAAAAATATGTATGCGTACGTATTTTGTTATTAAATTTAAGAAAATGTGTATAATTTTATTATTACCATAATTTAGGTATAAATATGATAATCAAGACATATCCTAACTTCTTGGCTGTGAATCAAGAGATAGATACAAAATGTACCTATATAACGAAATTTCATAAACGGTTATTCAATAATTATTATACATGGTGCCTATTAATTGAATGTTCAAGAAAATATATTTTCGATTGCAGACAAAATTTAATTACATTTATTTTTCATTTACTTATTGTTACACATTACAATATATGTATAGGTTTTGAAAGAAAAATTATAGTTTTATTCAGTTACTATAATATTTATTTAATACACTTTAATGAGGTATTGTTCTATATACATAATATATTTCTTATTAATTTGTGGCACATTAGCACACTGCATTTATAATATTTTATACAATTATTTGATTATACAACAATTGTAAACATGTTACAAATTTACAATGCATAATCCAGCCATTATGCATTGTGGTAAATATTAAACAATTAAATAGATATTATTCATTTTCTTTTTTATCATAATTGAAATTTAAACATAATCTCAGAGATACAAAAATCAAGAATATTTTTATTTATTGTGGACATTATTTATTGAAATGTTTCTATAAGTGCATCCGGTTCTCGATATTGATATTGTTTTAGCTGGTCGGTGTCTTCATTTACATACTCGCAAGGGATCATCAGCTGGAAATATGAAATAAAATTAATGCCAAAGAAGTTACGTCGAAATTTTACTTCAGGAACTTGAAAACAGCAACCACATTTGCAACAGAGCAGAGAGAGTTAATATCCTTTCATTGAACGATTTTATTTGCAAAATGATTTAATTTTCGTAGACAGACCAAAAGTGTAGAATGCGGCCATTTTGAAAAGCTACTTATAACGCAACCGGTATAGTGAAGCTATTATGCTTCTCCGGGATTCAAACCCATCTTGGGATTGCACTAAACGTTATGCATTTAATCAGTAGGTTATTAATTGATCAAATGAGGCGATCACAATGCTAAAGAAGGTGATGAGTTAGATTATAGAGTTAGTAACGTTATTTTTAAATAAAACACTTTAACGGTTTAAAACGCGATATATATTTGTTAAAATTTATTTGAAAATTATTATTGACTTCGGCCCGAATTTTCAATTAATTTAACTTATATATATCGCGTTTTAAACACAGTATTTAACATTATTTTTTCTTTTAAGTTCTTCATGTTTTCAATATACTGTTCTTTATATATTAATTTATTTACCCTCTCTGAAAACGGCTTGCCCTGTAATAAATACTTAAGTTTCTGCAGTTGACACGGTGTCAGGATTCTATCCAGGTTCCTGTTGTCCTGCTCGTTCCTCTTGTGATCTCTCTTTCCGTTCGTCCAGCCTCGGGAATATTGAAACGTCTGTGCCGCGACGGTCGTAAGCGTCACTGCGATTATGATAAGCGTGATGTTTGTCATTTTCGAACCTGTAATTTTAAAATGGTGAACGTTTATCACTTATTACTTTATTTTTAACTTAACCACGACCCGAAGCTTAGGAGCCGTGACCCACCCGTGAAAATGTATAAAGAGTTAATAGTGTTTTATTTCAATATGTACTAGGTATTCGTGTGAACTACAGACTTAATGATTAAATACTTTCTTAGTTTAATACTAGCGAGGCAGAACTAATCCCAGTTAAACTTACCAAAATTGTCTCTAATTAAATTATAATAACATCTTTAAAAGACAGAAATGTAAGTATTTAGTTTACAAGTTCTTGTTACAAGTACGTATAATGAAAATATATTACGTATTAATTCGTGCGTCTCAGGACAACGAAGTGATAAAAATAATCTAAGTTGTACTAAGAATTTAATACAGACGTTGGAAATGAAGCAGACTTTTTAACTAATATATCGCGTTTTAAACGGTGAAAGTGTTTTATTTAAATGTTGGGCTTTGTCTGGAAATCTGTCGGGTTTGTGACCCATCCGGCCACGTCCACGTCTGTGGATTTCCAAATACGTATCTAAAGCCAAAATAGGTTGAGAGTGCATCTTGTTAAGGTGTTAGATATAGCTGTATAGAAAAAAAACCAATTGGAGTGTAAGCAAATTCCGTATTCCTATACTAAACTATTTTGCATTTACAGAAATAACCCACGCCAGTGTAAAGGCAAATATTTTTTACATCACCTCAACGCCAATGTTTATGTTCGATTAACTTGTTACGTCACGTCACCTCAAAGAAACATTTTCGAATCGTCTATTTTTAGAAACGAATTAGAAATATTTAAATTCATTCTGGAATACATTTGTTTAAAATTAGAATTCTCAATTCAAATTGAAAAGTTTAATTAATTAAAGAACTTTTAATAAATACACGGCAGTTCTATTTTTAAATTCCGCTGGCCAGATCTAAATATAGACGGCCATTTTGTGTTCAGGTGTTTAAACGCAAGTAATGAAATGCCTTCAATGAAAGCCTCATTTTCTTCTCGATTGTCCTCTAATTAATAAACACCGTTTGTAGGGAGGTTTGCCTGCACTTTTAAGATTCGAGACAAAATTCATCAGACCATTAGTCATCCCACAGTTGGGACTCTCTCTTGGGAGGCTTTTATATATGCTTTGATCGAGTGATTCTTGGTAATGAGCGAGAAAGGGATGTATTAAAAGAAATACAATGACAATATCTAGGTGAACCACCGAATATCGAAATCCCGACCTTATCAAAGTAAAATTCCCGATTTAATCACGTAAAGTGTATGTAGTTGTATGAGGGTTTTTCTCTAGAATATTCAAACAATAGGCATTTTTTCTTTATTTTTTACCGCTATCATTGCATTTGCCGACATAATTGTCTGTTATAGGTAGTAGATGCCGAATAAATAATGAACAATTTTTACAGAATTAAACAAAATTATAGTGGTATCACCACAACGTAATTTCCATTACATTGCTTTTTCGCCACCCCTATTAATATGTATTATACATAGCACAGCCTCAAAGAAGACTCTTAAAATGTCATATAATTAAAGGCAACTTTGTATGCAATTCAACAAACATTAATTACACTTTTATTTCTATTCAATGCAAATTTTAAGTCGTTAAATGACTAAGAACGTACAATAGCTATGACTTCCTTTGTTAGCTTCGATTTGAACCCATTAATATCCCACAGCTGGGAAGAGATCTCTCGTATAGAAGATTGTTTGACCCACCACAGTGTTCCAGCGATGATATATGGACTTTAAAGACTACTACCATTAGTGATAAGAACTAGAACAACGGCTTATATGCTAAACCAAAAATAGGAGGGTGACACTGGACTATCGAAGTAACATTTTGCTCCTCCCAGAATTCAAACCGCGTGATCCCGTGATCCATACTTACCACTAGGATAATGAGGCAGTTGGTAATTGCTAACTTTGTTAAAAATTATAAGCTGGAACTAAGAACACTTGCTATTATCTATATCTGTATACGACAGGGTTTTATTTTACAAATTTGATTTTATAACGTCTAATAGATACATTGTGTATATTTTTTCAAGTGAAGAAATTGTTTTTTTTTTGTTTATGATAGAGGAGGAGGTAGGTGAAACAGCCTAGCCATATATGAATAACACGATGCGCTGTCGACCTTTTTTTGGTTTTTATACTCGGAAATACATAGACCTTCTTATTTTTTGACAAATAAATTCGTGTTTATTTAAAGAAACACTGTGTTTTATTTCTTCAATTAATACACCACATCTTATTTAGTTTACCCTGTTATACTTAATTAGTTCTGAAAAACGTGCGAACTAATCAGAAATTATACACATCTTTTTATATTGTATAATTTACAAGAAACAATAATTGAATTTAATTGTACTTAAATAAATACTTTATCATATTTCACGGAGATAATGATATTGTTATTTGAGTCGGCTTTCCTTTGAACTTGCCACCCTTAGTTCTTAAGGGTTGGCAGTATGAAGTCATTATTTGGCAAATTTCAAGTTAGAAGACATAATGGCTAAGTTGGAATAAATTTTACGAATGTTACAAGTACATGACATTGTGACAAAAAATTTAAGTAGCTAACATTCTTTGACTGTATTAAATATTTTGACTGTATTATTGATTTGAAATACATTAATGCTTAAGTCTTGTCTGTACTTGACGCGAGCAGAACATATTTAAATAAAACTCTTTTAACGGTTTAAAACGTGAAATATATTAGTTAACTTACGTGTAGTTTCTTCTAACTTGCGCCCGAAGTTTCGTCCTAATTACGTTTTTTTTTTAAGTTAGTATGTTTAAGCCTATTAGTTATAATAAGATAAAACTATATTTTTAAAATCCCGTATTTAAAAAAATGTGTAAAATATATCGCGTTAAAGTGTTTTATTGAAATATGTGTATATTATTGAATATTTTAAATACTGTCTATAGTTTACGCGAGTAGTACCCATTTAAATAAAACAGTCTCCCCGTGACCACGGCTGCTACAAAGCATCCGAAAGGTCACGGGGGACGACGAAGTTAAAAATCATTTTCAAATAAGTTTATCTAATATATCGCGTTTTAAACCGTTTAAGTGTTTTATTTAAATATTGAATATTTTTTTATTCGTATGAGGTTATACCTACCGTAGTAAACGTACCTACTTTAATGATATGCTTTCAATAATTAAATTAAATTAATTAAATTTAAAACAGAAATACAAAAAAACTATTGTGTACTTCATTTTCAAAACTCTAATTAATTATATTTCTATGAATTCTATAGAATATTATAGACTCACCTTACATAAAAACAGACACAGAACTATATCCTAGCTATCTTCACCCTGAACTACGCTCCATTCCTGTAACCCGTTCCTTTTATACGCTGAAAGCTCCGCGACATACCCAATATCTATACGACTAGAAAAGCCCACGCTGTTTACAATTATTGTGTTTAAATAAAATGTTAATTACAAAGTATTCAATACAGTGTTAAACATTCATATGTTTTCACAAATGTTTGATTGCTGCAAATACTGGCAATTCTTTAATATTATTTCATATCTGTTGTTTTTGATTTTATCTTTAAATCGTTGTTATCTAATAATTTGTTTGTTGCTATATTAGTCTACGTTAAAACGGTTTATACGCAAAAATATTATCTTCTATATTTTATGTACACTTCTAGGTTACGACTGACAGTTCAATACAAATCTGTTAAGTATCTATCCAGAGTTAGAGAGAAAGCCATGTTTTTTTCTGTGGCCCAACTCGGTATTCGAATTCTGGTAATCATAACAAGTAGTTACATTTCGGCAAAGAAGTGTTATCATCTTGTCTATAAATAGAATCGATCAATCAAACAGTCACAAAGATGTACCTACTAAATTACGTGAAAGGAAATTTACTTAATGCACCAAAGTTACAAATTGATCTTATTACCAATTAAACCTACAAAAAGTCATATCATTTTGTACATGCAAGAACTCATTAGGAAAATTTCCCAATTGCATCATGTAACCGACTTTGAAACGGTTATTTAAAGTGCAAACTAATTACCTCTGAACGAAACCCTCCACACTAAATACCTACGTTACAACTGCGAGACTTGATATTAAAAATATAAACTATTCGCTGTTTAGTTGCTTTGACCGTGTTATTTATTCTCTCCCTCTTTTTAAACTATATTAATTAATTGTATTATTTTAATAATAAGACTTACATACTTGTAAAAATATAAGTATCATAAACTTTAAGGTTTAAAAATATATTATTAAACTTATTTGAAAATTATTTTTAACTTCGGCCCGACGTTAAAAATCATTTTTAAATAAGTTTAACTAATATATCGCGTTTTAAACCGTTAAAGTGTTTTATTTAAATGTGTACTACACGCGTAAACTATAGACAGTATTTAAGTATCATAAGATTTCTCGTAACTTGGTCCTATGTTGTTTCACCAACATTTTGATCCAAAATTGACACAGCAAGCAATCTTTATATAGTTTTATTTCTTTTAAGTTATTTCAGTAGTCTGTGGTGCCTATTGACAAATAAAATGCAGTTTTAGCGTCTACTACCTACACCTAAGTCACTACTTATAATAAAACATTCTTATAAGTTCAGATGACATGGATACGATTAACTTTTTAATCTGTAGAATCAAAAGAATAAATTATTCATTCGTTCATTCATTCATTCATTGCTTAATACCCCTAACGACAGATTTTTTTAAATCATAAAGCATATACCACGATCGACGCTCAAAATATCAAAATGGATCCAAATTAAACCCACTCTTTGATTAAGGCCTGTGAATTATGTTGGTACAACTAATTACAGATAGTCTGTCTTATCTTCGCTGATTTTCAATAGCTTATATTCATATAGATATATCCTCATCATTCTGTATACAGCCTACGTTATAATTAATTAATAGGTATATATAATGCCTTTATATGCGAAAAATTATGTATTTAAAAAAGAAGATTTTCGTAGTCAAAGACACTAGTTAAATTATGCTTATTTCACCTACAGTTATTTCCCTTTTTCGTAATATTCTATTAGTAATAATAATTATTTGCCAGCTAAAACTACTGGATGACAGTATTAGAAAAACTTCTGCAATTATATTCTTTGTTACAATACGTTATACGTTAATGCCTATTCTTTGAAAATTGAAACGTGACGCCTCCCTCGTTAGTGTTATCATTTTTTCTTTTGTAATGTTATCCTGCGATAGCAAATGTCAAAATAACATTATATAAGTATGAGTTTTAGATTTCATTTCCTGTGTTTTTAGCCTTTGATATTAAGTTTTTTTTTGTAGCATGACTTTGACAAAGAAGATTGTTAGTACTTGACGAAATTCAAATGAATATTTAAACTGCTAAATATAGCTACGTGATATTTAGCAGTTTAACTTTAAACTTTAAGTTATAACCACCGTAATGACAAAAATATGAAATGTTGCAATAAAATGGAAAATATTACAAATTTATGAGTTATTTTTTTAACGTTTTATAGGTATATAACTAAGTTTTCATAAAATATATGAAAAAAAAGTAAAGCAAAATATGAAGTTCTCGAAAAAAATAAAAAAAACATAAAATAAGATTTGATAAGTAGTATATAAAGAATAAGACTTCATTTTTCTTCATAAAAAATATACTACAGAAATTTAATTACTGTGAGATAAAATACTGCAAGAAAAGCGCCATCTAGCGTTAATAGGAAAAAATAATCAGCTTTCAAGGCGTAGTCTGTTATGTGCTTTAGATAATAAGAGAGATATCTCTATGTTGTATGTGTTCAATATATTGAATTAAGAAGTTCCTTGATTATACATAATTATGTTTGCATAATCATCATTGTTTAAATATAATATCTATTATTCGCTTTGTTAATATTGAAAGTCACTCTTTGTACATTGTCACTTTGATACCGTCAAATGCTATTGACAATATTATTAGTCACTCACTCATTCAATTTGACAAATCATTCCTATGTTGCCCGTCGAAATTTTTAATTTTAATCAAAGGCCAAGCTAATAGCAATAGAAAATGAAGAGAAAAGAAATATATATTTATTTACACTTTTTTGCTCAAAAAAATGAACAAAAATATAAACGAGACTTATATGCTAAAAATATGAAATGCAGTGGGCGGCCTTATCGCTAACGAGCGATATCTTCTAGGCAACCCAAAATAAAAGAGAAGAAAGTTTACGGGAAAACGAGATGTGTGAAATATTATCGTTATTCTTTCAATAAATCTCTACAAGCTTAAATAAAAAGTAGTGTTAAAATTATTTAGTTTTAACGGATGTGCTTTCGTAGTTACGAATACTTTTTAAAGACGAAAATGAGGAAATAAAAAAAAATAACGAAATTAAAACAACGGGCAACTAAAATCTGTGTCAGATTTCGGTAAATACAGGGCGTAGTTTGTTGGCAACACTTAAACATCGTTCAAACTTCAACCATTCAATAATAAAAAGTGAATTGTAAAAGCGTTTCGTGAAACATGTCCGCTTTTTGTGTGTTTTTGACGTAAATATTATCGAAATTGTTAATCGTATTGTGTTCCCAACTGCGTGTCTAATTTTGTGCTGTAGGAGTTTTAAATTATGTGTGATATTGTGCAATAAACTGTTCATATGAGGCTGTTGTATAGAAGTGGTCCAATGGATTCTCTCAGAAAATGGTTCTACAAACCAAAGGTATGTATGTCAATACAATTTCTATTTTATGTATTTATTATGTTTTCTTACTTTCTACGTATTGACATTGAATATCTCTAGTATTTAAACTTTCCTGTGGCCGAGAATTTACTCGTAAACGTGTATTTTAAACAAGGATTTCTTTGTTATGAAGCACGGAGTGTGATTGCAAAATTTTCCTTCCAATAGTTATACTCATTGCACATTGAGGCTACAGTTATTTCCTTTTCTATTCACCACAATAGTTGTTTTATTTCGCGATAACGATTGTTCAGTATTACGTCATGACTCATGAGTTATCTTTGCTATTGTTTTTAATTACGGAAAAGTATATCGCTTAAAAAATTATATTCAGTGATCGAAACATCTGTTTCATATTCAAAAACAACTACATATTTTTAACTAAATGACCAACAATATACGTCTATTTTAAATATTCTAATTAAAAAGAATTTTACGAATTCAATAACTGCAAGTACCCACTTGTTTAGTATGTAAGTTGATTCAATTTAAACTTATTTGATGCTTATGATTATTATGTATGATCACAAAGAGTAAAGATGCATAATATTAAAAAAAAAATGTAAAATATAGTGGTGTTTATTTATGCATTATTTTATTCAGTGATGTCAGTTTATAAGACAAATACACATTTAGTTATGTTTCCTTACAAAGTAATATGATGTTCAGTGTAATGAGAATAGTATTATTTATATAGTGTAAGACATTTGAAAAGGAAAATTATGCAAATAATTTGTCATGCAAATGTTAGGTAAAATGCTGTTTTTCATTGTACAACAATATGTTAAACCTTGTACAACTTACATATCAAGTTTCATTGTAATTAAATACTGTAATCTCAATATTTTTATATAGTAAAAACAACCTTACATTTCTCTCTATGTTACTTTAGTATTCTTATCACTGAACAATGTGATATTATAATTGTTTTGATCTGGGATGCCCTTCTGAGCCCTGGATTATCTCATACAACTAAAGCGACAATCATTAATAGATAGTGGAATGTTTCTGGAGACTACTTGAGTATCAAAACATAACACATTTAATATATTGCCTTTGCCAAAACACTTTAACTGTTTAAAATATATATATATATATATTTGTTAACCTTATGTGTAAATTATTTCAACCAAGCTCAAGTCTCTCAGTGACCACAGCTGCTGCAAAGTATCTGGAACGTTGGGCCGTAGTAAAAATACCTAGTCTTAACTAATTTATATTGTGCTATAAACCATTATGTGTTTTTTTTAAATGTATATTACTTGCGTATACCACAGACAGTATCTAATTGAAATTTAAACATTATAAAATCTTATAGAACTTTTATTCTACACTTCAAATCTAGAGAAATTGACAAATTTTATGACTTGAAATGAGATGTAGTCTTGACTTTATTTAGACATTGTCAAGAAACAATAAAATGTTGATAACACCCCACATAGTGATAACCTTATCAAAAACATTATCATCATTGTGGTAATTGTTATTGTGGTAGACATATGATTTAATTTTAAATATGGTAATCTTTTTTGTTTAGTGAAATAAGACTTTGAAGGACTTGTTGGTGCAATGGTACCAAGTGATGACTTAATAATCCAGGTTTTGTTGGTTCAAATCGTACTAGATTCAAACATTTTTCGAATTTTATTTTTATATTTAAGAACAGAAGTAAGATTGAGGTTATAATTGTTTTTCGGGCTGTTCGCCCGACGTGAGGTGGGGGAGAAGAGGTTTTCGATGTTTCGCCATCACGAGCGGACGGCATCATCAGGAGATGTAGCTCCTCGATTGCTCAAAAAATTCTTTGTCGGCCGAACAGCCCGAAAAACAATTATATGTTGAACGATGGGCATTAAAGCACAATTTATAAAATTGAGATTGTTATCAAATCTGTATTATAATAAGTGCATATTGGTTTTTTTTTTTAATTTTGTTCATCGTTTTATTTTATTAATGTCTATACATATATAATTACTTACCTATTTATTTACTGCAATCAAACCGGAGGGTTTGAGGGGGACACGGGGAGAGTTGAATGACCCAAAACCTCTGCTGAAATGGGGAAACAGGGAAATTGGTGAAATGGTCGGCTGATAACGTGAACTGATTACCCGTCCTATCACAGGTGTCCCCGATAGAAAATAATAATAATACCTATAATTTTTTTTGTATTTTAAGTAAAATGGTAAACTAGGGTATATCTGTGGTCAAAGCTAATATTGTATTTGGTAGATATCCTTGCCTTTACAGACTTTGCTTGGAGATACCTCTTCATAGCTATCTTCATGATCGGGTTATAGTTATTCTAAGTTGAGTATCAACATGAAATTTTGTAGCATTGTTTTGAACAATGTGCTTCAACTGTTATATTTAGGATAACCTTTTTAAAAGGTATATAAAGATATATAAAAAAGAAACTAAGGACACTTTTCGTATTAGTTTGTAACATCACTAAATTAGGTACCTAAATTTAACGTTTCGTCAACAATATTCAACGTTTGGCTTGAATGCAAATTCGAGACTTTTCTTCATTTTGGAGTTTTCGAAACACCAAATAAAATTAGAGAATAAATTAAAATACCCGTTAAAGGCATGCCACCAAGATGCAAATAACTCCATGAATGGAGTAAATAGCAGTATATTTAATTGGAAGCTGTTCCCTAGATATGAATAGCTGATGAACAAACAGTCGTAGGGACTCGGATTATTCTTTGTCTGAATTATTTTTAAGCTGTTTGATAGCATAGGTCACAAGAAACATAATCTCAGCGTGTAGATACAAAAGACGTGGTCTATCATGAACGATACGACGTGCTGTCATTGTTATCAATTCTATAATGTTTATGAGCACTAATCGCACGCGTCTCCCAGCTATTTATCAGCGAATGTTATAGAGCGCGGCAGCTGTTTATGAGCCCTAGAATCATAATCAGCATATTAGTTGAAGGAGTATTATTATTGCGATGCTAAACAATTAATATTACTTCCGTATAAATTACTTTAATTAATGAATTTATTTGTGTGCTAAGAGAACTTAAGTCAAAGGCTTAGTTTAGCTCATTCTATAACTATGCCCGCTTAACGCGCTCTACGCAATAAAAATGCAAATGTTTGCGACGCGAGTTGCAACCTTCAAATGTGTAGGTTACCGTTTCCATCGTTGAGACATTTCGTGGATACATACTAAACGTTTGCCTTTAGCATATAGCCTGTTGTATTAATACTTTATCTTGAAGATAGTAGCATACACTTGTTTCAAATATCCTTATTTAAGTTTTTTAAGTGGTATTTTTTCACAACTAGAAATAAGGCAATATACTGCGATGAAAAAACTCCAAGCATACGGAAGAAGCTCCCTAATCCTTGATTAATCTAGATGAACGAATCTTTATACTTTCATCTGTTTTCTATCAAGTTCATCTTTGAATTGCACAGCTGTTTCGTTTGTTGTGTAAACAGTTTTGCGGCGTCGTGTACGCTCCGTACAAACGTGTATTATTAAAATCGCTGATCCTTGATGTAAATTTAAATTTTACCAATGAAAATACTTCATCCGTTCTTGATGCCGATTATATGTAATTTATTTATATCGGGAACCTTGTATATTTACGATTCGAAACTCGTCGTCGGACATTTTTAGCACTCACCGAAGTTTATTTTAGCTGGTTATACTTAATCTTAGCATGAGTTTTCAATTACGCTTATCGCAAAGATCTTTTTTATTTCGTTTTGCAAAAGTTTAAGGTGTTATTGCGCCATCGTTGAGAGTCGAAAGTGTAAAAACGTACATAAAATTTACGAAAGCTAGGGTTCGAAATAAAATAACTAAACGGGGCTTGGAATTGGTGCTAAAACCATAATACCTCAATAGTTATTGTAATGTACCTATTTACCTTTTTATCTAGTGGGCGACACAGTCCAGTATACCATAAATAAACTTGGAATTGTTTTAAAGAAAATGTATATAAGTATATAACCGACCCAGAGATAGGCATTAAAAGCTTCTATCCCCGTGCCTCAATTAGGACGTTGATCTTGTTTATTATCACTAATTTAGTGGCGACAGTCAAACCTGCAAAGAAGCAGCGAGGTGGGTCTGAGTTCGTTAACCCTCATACCTATATGAAGTGCCCAGCCATGGACATTGTTGATTAAAACGAACAAGGTATCCTTACTAGCTGTGAATTTTCAACTATTATTTAAGTCAAGAATGACGAAGATGGAGATTTCGTGACAAAAATTATCGAATTTCCGAATAACTTTTGTCATATTGAAATGTTGCGTTATACGTTACACAAGTAGTTTGTTTTCGTTTGCCCAGTAGTTACCGGTTTCAACTGAAGTTTGGTTTTGCTTAAAGTTTAGATGCACAACGTTTTTATTTAAATAAGACATTCGCGTCGTGTCCCGAGTCTCAATGTCGAGGTCGAGAGCCGTTCGTGATTCCAATTGATGGTAATAAAGTGGCGATTACTTGCAGTGTAAAGGGGACTATTTTGCACATTAACTTTTTTTAACAGAGGAACAAACTCCCGGGGGAAATTGTTACAGCTTCTTCACTTAATACGTTCAAAAACGTTTTGGACTCATTCTCCAAGAATTTATAATTCTCAAGCATCAGGTTTTGCGGAAAAAAATACTGAAGTACAGGCAAGCACTCAATGGAAGGTGAAAATTCTCTAGTATTACTAGTTTATTTATTTATTCCCATACAATATGTTTTATATTCTACATACATATAAAGCATATTGTACTACTTACAATGGTTACAGAAAATTCGTTTTTAATAATTGTCAAAACACATAAACATTCCAAATTAGTTAAATAGGTACACGATTAAGACTAATAAAAATTATACTAACTAGTGTTTCAGTGACTTCGTCCGTAAGAATATTTATTTTGCGCATGTTTTTGTAAACCCCTCAGCTTTTAAAGCTGTACCCACGACTCCGTCGCGTCTCTTCCCTATATTCTTGCAA